CTGAGCAATTATAATTGTAATGAATGTCACAAAGAAGGAGCACACGTAGCTATGGGGGAGTCAGGGAAGGCTTCTTGAAGGAAGTGACATTTAAGTAAGACCTGAAGAATAAATAGGAACTGGTTAAGCAAAGCAGAGGCAACGGGAACAGCATGTGCAAAGGCCCTGTGGTAGGAAAGCTAGAAATGGAGACTGACATGAGATGAGGCTTAAAGATGTGGTTGGGTCTAGTCACTGGGGGCTATTTGGGTCATGTTAAATAATTTGGATTTTAATTCTGAGTGCAATAGGCAGGATTATAGGGAGGGGTGGGGTGGATAATCAAATTTGCATACAGAGATGATTGCAGGGCTCGATGAGGGATGTAGGACTAATTGTACAATCCAGAGGAAGATCTGTACCAAACATAACCATGGAGACGGAGAGAAGTGAGTAGATGCAGAATGATAGTTGGGAGGGAGAGGGAGAATCAATGGGGGGAGACTCACTGGATGTGTGGGTGAGGGCTACACAGGGAAACTGAGGTACAGAGGTGAAATCACATGTTCCAGGGCTGGATTGGCTACAGTGTATCTCAGGCCTCCTCTGACCTGCTGAATAAGCGTCTGATATCCCAAGCTCTCCTGGGGATCCCAGGCAAGGCAGAGGCTGCTGATCTGCGACCACACTTGGAGTAGCAAGGGTCCAGGTCAGTGCATCTCACAATTTCATGGGCCCACCGATCATTCGGGGATCTTGTTACAGTGCAGCTTATGATTCAGCAGATCTGGGTCAGGGCCTGAGATTCTGCTTCCACCAGGCTTCCTACTGGTGCCACTGGCCACGGACCACACTTTGAGAAAGAAGAGTCCTAGGTCTTCAGGGTCCTTGATGAGCACTCTTGGTCACTGTGTCAGTTTCTCAGGGCTGCCGTAATAGGACAGAGATTTATTCTCTCACAGCTCTGGAGGCCAGAAGTCCAAAATCCAGGTACTTCCTCTGAAGGCTCCAGGGGGAGAATCTGTTCTCTGCCCCTCTCCCAACTTCTTCTGTTGCCAGCATTCCTTGGCTTGTAGACCCATCACTCTAATCTCTGCCTCCGTCATCACATGGTCCTCTCCTTATGTCTCTGTACCTCTCCTCCATTTATTAAAAGGACACCAATCATGTCAGATGAAGGGACCATCCTACTCCGGTATGATCTCATCTTAACTCACATCTTTTTTTTTCTTTTTTGCTATAGTATTCCATTTTAATATTTAATGCTAACTCACATCTTTTTTTTATTTTTATTTTTGTATTTTTCGCTTAAAGTATTACAAAGGGTATTACATAAGTGTCCTTTTTTTTTCCCCCCCGCCCTTGACAAACCCCTACCCTCCCTTACCCCCCAGTGTCTTATGG